AGTGGGATTTTTCAGTTTCGACTGCCAGCTGGCTTCCGGTTATCTGTCGGCTGCATCCGTGTCGCAGGCACGACATCCCGGACCCAAGACTGGACCTCAACACCCAACACTCCCCAAAAACGCTTAAATCAAAATCGGTGGTTCTTTGCAGGCTCAAGGCTGCTCCTCCATCTTCTTCTTCCGCTCTTCCGCGCGCTTTCGCAGCTCCTCGAGCATGCGCACCTGGGTGGCAGAGGCTGCGATTTGGACTCGGATTTGTTTTATTGGGAATCTGAAGCGAAAACTGAAAACAGCGCAAGTTGATAAGCTCAGACCGTGTTGAGAGCTCAGCGCCCCCAATGAAGCCGCAAGGATAGAAACTTGATGCCCTATACTGGGAATTGCCATCACTAGTACGTCAAGGTAGAAGCATTGCTTCAACAGCAAGAGCATCCAAACGAAACCCATGAAAACAAAGACCGCCACTCAGAACATCGTGACCTGTTCTGTGAGAACGATGCAGGAGATGGTCATCAGCGTCGCCATCATCGCGAACACAATCATCCCCCGTCAAAGATCAGCACAACAACAGCAGCAATAGAGAGTATGGTCAAGCTGGCTATGACAGGCGGGATGTAGTGTAAAACAGTTCAACTTAGACGTAATGGTATGTCAGACTTTCATAACTTCAAGCGCGCCAAGTCGCACAGTCAGGATGTCCTTTAGGCTCCTACACTACGGTTCTCTCGCTCTCTGCCATGCCATCCTCAAGGGTCTAAACCCTAAGCCCTAAACCCAAGGCCCTGAAATCCTAAGCCCCAAACCCTAAAGTTGCTATGCATACTATGGGGGTTCCCAAAAGTAGGGGACCCTAATATAGTACCCCAAATAGAAGGATCCCCATTATAAGGACCCCGCAATAAGGAACCCCCTATTTTCGGAAACCCCCCTATGGCTCTGATTCGAAGACTTCGGACCCCTGGTACCTCGTCCTCGTCGGCCTCATCGTCCTTTGCGGACTTCTCCTTGGCCTGAGACTGTTTGTGATGTAAGGCTTATAGTTGATATTCTCTAGTACATTACCAGCTATTATAGTATCTTTTTGTACACAGTATACCCTTTTTTGAACGAGGTCTCTCTGAAGAGCCTCCAAGCTGCCCGCCACACAGTATACCCTAAAACCTAAACCCTAAATGAAATGAGATCGTAGCATAATCCCTGGCAAGAAGGTGGGGCTTGTTCATGTGGCCCTTGCATCACAAATTCGACTGTCATGGTAGCCAACACTTGGAAATGAAGCAAGCGGGCACAATACGAATCGCATTTTCTACACCTATGCGAGGGAAGCGGTAAATACTAATCGCATTTTCTACACCTATGCGAAGGCAGCACATCACCAGAATCATTACCAACACCATCAAGAACATCCCCATGACCACCGCCATCAGCATCGTCGTCGTAGTCGTCGCCTTTGGCGGAGTAGGCGTAGCAGGAGGCCTGAGCCTGTGCCAAATCCGAAGTGCGCGCGCCGACTGCTCCGAAACACAACCACCCCTTCGGAAGGGGCTTCGATAGCTAGACTATGGACGCTGCCGAACAAGCCCGAAGCTCGGGCGCCCTCGGGCATTACGAGCAAAACTCCTTGAATCAAGGGGGCAATCGAAACCCTAAACTTCTGGCTTTTCATGCTCCGAGGCACCGTGGCCGTGCCATTGGCGATTCTGGACTCCTTCTCTGGGCCCTGGCACTTCGACTCTCAAAGCACAGAGGTTTAGGATGTAGTCACTGACCCTAAACTCCCAAAGCCCTGCACCGTCAGGTTATGGCTTCGATGCCGTCGCCAGGAGAAGCACGATTCGTGCTCGTGCTTAAAAGTTTATACCTAACCAACGCTTATTGCAGGTCTAATTACTTGCCTACGACGTGTCCAAGGAAGGCAACACCGCCCTAAGTCCTAAGTTAAGCTCAGGGGCCTACGACGGCCTACGCTCAGGGCAGCTGCACCCTCATTGGACCAACCCTGACTCGCGTGCAAGACGTCACCGAACTTAAAGCGCTCGAGTCTACACTCAAGGAAGCGGCTGCCAAACCACGGGCCATAGCAGATCAACCGTAAACAAGCTGAACTATCACACATCTTCCCACCTGGACATCCTACATTGCATGGGATGTTGCGAGCTTTTGGCTTTGCAGAGAGACAAGCCCGAAAGTCCCAGGATTCGCCGAACAGTTTCCGAACATCCGAGAGTCCTCCCTAGCCAGCCTCGCCTACTAAACTTGCACCCCAGAGGCGGTCTGATCCTCTTGTAACACGTATATGTGCAGTACCTCGGTATCTAACTTTTAGTATACAGATACATATATATATATATATGTATACATATGTATGCTTGTGTTTATTGGTTGTCCATTTCATGTACTATCTTGCGCCTTCTTCTTCTTCTCCTCCTCGGCCTTGGCACGTTCCTGAAGAATGGTTACGCTGGCTGGCAATTTTCACAGCTTGGCCGTCGAACGAGTTAATTTAAAATAGCAGCCACTGTACTTCTCATGGTATTGTAGACTGGTATTCTAGACTATACATAAGTGTATACGGGACTGTAAGGGGAGATCATGATTAAACTACGAAGTATTCCGACCCCTGCAAGCATCCATGAGCAGATCGGCAACAGCTTGAACCCACCGAGACGACTCACCAAAAGATGGGGCAACACCGGTGCGCAACGATGCTGACCCTCGTGCGTCTAGCCCTAAGGCAGAACGGCCTCCCGGCGTTTGTTGTAGGCCGTGACCTCGGTGTTGCTCTAGTGCAAGCAGCATTCGATTCGTACCGCAGGTAGGCTTTGATATCATCTGACGGCCAAGCATGGTCCATCACTGTCCGTCACAGTAAATTTTCAGCAAATATCCCGGCAGAAACATTGCAGGCTCTTCGGGGGCTGCGGGTTTGAGTCCTTGAGGATTTGGCCATGGGGTCCTGACTATGGTTGGTTTAGGTGGTGGTCTCTCGCGGGTGCTTTTGTTCCTGCTGCCGGCCCTCTTCGAGCATTGTCTCCTTGCAAAGTGGCGCATGGTAGTGAGAGAGACCTGGAACCCCTGAACCGCTAAACCCTCGAACTGAAAATCCCCGTACGACCGAACAGCAGAGCTGGCCACTTCGCTTCAGCTTAGGGCCTAAGGCAAATCTGTGGCACCCAGCGGGATGTTGGCGAGAAGCGTGGTGAAGGTTTGTACAAATCATACGCTTAGAGGAAGATGACATGCACAAAGATCGCTGCTCTCATTCCTGGCAGCTGAACCCTGAACTCTTTTTTGCCACAGGCCTAGTTGTCCAGCAGCCCGGTCTAGCCAAACACACACTCCCCAAACCTGCCCTAAACCCTAAACCGAATAAAGAGAGCCGGTTTTGCAAGCTGAGTCCGAAGCGAAGTAGTTGCCTGCGGACTCGGCCGGCTTGTCACCTCCAGACATCTCTGTTCAGCTGCAGTACCGGCTATATAGCAAACCCTATTCCTATCATTTTGGCCCCTATATACTAACCCCTTGGTTCCTTAGGGTTCCTTGTTTGAAGCATAAGATGCCCCCCCCAAAGCCCCATTCTGACTTCCTATAGTAAAACTCTCAGAGTAACCTCATAACTTGCGATCATCGTAACCCGCATAGTAAGCCTGATCGTAACCCGTATGTCAACCCCCTTTTTTTTTGCAACCCATAGGGTCCTGGGCTTCCCCTCAAGAAGATCCGGAACTCTCCCTCCCGAAAGCTGCAGGCCAGATGGCCTTGGTTATGTACTGTTGAACTATATGAGGTTGTATTGTACAACATACAGCTATATATTATCATATACGTATATGTGTATATTATACTATCTCTGCTTTTGTTATTGAACTATATATTATATTATCATATATCATAACATGATATATCATATTACAGTCTAGTCGAGTCTAGCGTAGTCTCTCATATTATTGTATTATGTTGTACTGAGAAGCAGACTCTCTTTGGCTTCTGATCGGGAGCTCCGCTTGCTGTCCTTCTTTGACTTTGGCTTGTCTTCTTCCTCTTCTTCGTCCTCCTTGGGCATACGGGGACCTATGAGACGTCTTGCCCCTAAACATCCCTGAACCATCACATTCGCATTCATTGTTCCGGCCTCATCTTCTTCTTCTTCCTCGTCGTCGTCGTCGTCCTTCTCTTCCTTCTCATCTTCGTCCTCCTCCTCGACCTTTCAGAAGCAAGATGCAAAACCTTCGGTATGCCGGGTTGACATGCATGTCTATCCCACAGCGGTGCTAGTCGTGGTGCAAGAAAGTTCGCCTTCTTTGCCTTGCTACGTGATGCTGTCTCCTTCTTTCTGGACTTGGGTTTCTCTTCCTTTTCCTCCTCCTCTTCTTCCTCGTCTTCGTCCTCCTCGTCTTCGTCTTCGTCTTCATCCTTCTCCGAAGCCTTCTCCGACGCCTTCTCCTCTTTTTCATCCTTCTCTTCCTCCTCCTCCTCTTCCTTTCCCTCGTCCTCTTCCTCCTCATCCTCGCTGGAAGACTCGACCTCAGCAGGGCTCCGCCCTCTTGGGGTTTCGGTGCTCACTCTCGGACAGGCCACCCGAGGTTACTGGCACTGAACAAGTTGACGGTCAAACCTATGCTTGAGGGGGGTTACATCGAACAAGAATCCTGCATCAACCAGTCTCTAACTAATCAAGGGCCTCTATCAACGTCGAAAGGAGCTCCAGCTACTGCACCCCTCTCAAAGGAACTTTTGAACGAGGAGCCTGAAGCGGAGCGTTTAGGGTTTAGGTTGGATTCCATCGCGAACTTATTCTAGCCTCTGTAGCACAGTTCTGTGTTGCCAGCCCTTGTATCTACGTGGGCTGACACCCAGCGGCTTCAGCCCTCCATCTGCCACTAGAGCTGCCGGGCCCCATTTGAAACACACTGCACCCCTTCCATGCTTATTGGCTTGTTGTCTTGAAGTTGCAGAAACACAGAGACTGGAGATTGGAAGGGACAGAGACACCCCGAGCTTCAAAGCCTTTCTCCTAAGGGCTCCAGGGACGCATGGAATTTCAGAGCTTGCATGCGCTGCAGCGATGGGCTGGGGATGCACTTCGGCATTCCCGAGATTTTCACCCCTGCGAGCGTCTGGAACCTGGAGAGTGCCACATACACCTGCGCAGTCTCGAAAGCCCTCGACAGGTCCAGCTCCCCCGTCTGCAAGGTCAAGCCCTGCGTCTTGTGCACCGTGAGAGCCCAGGCCAGCTTGAGCGGAATCTGCATGCGGCGGTACTTTCCGAGGTGGCCGAGCTCGCCGGAGAATTCCGAAGGCACAATGAGCCTGCGGTACCCCCGCGAAAACTCCACAAGCGGGCACTCCATTCCGTGCTCCGGCGAAGGTTCAAAGCCGACCACCACGCCGATGCTGCCGTTGACCAATGGGGTTTGCCGCCCCTGGTATTCGGAGGGGAGGTCCATGAATCTAAGGTCACATCCGATGTCGAGGTCCAAAGAGCGCTTTCGTCCTTTGCGAGTGCTGGGGCTGCTGGGGACCATGGGTTTGCAGTCGCTTGGTAAGCGAAGGTTTTGCAGCAGCATAACGACGCAGCCTACCTTTAGTTCCAGCGTTTTCTCCACAAGCAGATTCTCCAGCGCGTTCACCACCGCAGGGTCATGGAGTTTGTCCGCCTGGTCCCGCGAGGCAAAAGTCCTGACCTTATCCGGCAGCATGCCGAGGTTCCTTGAGTTGATCTCCAGCGCTTCGTCGTTGCTGCTGACGATTTTCGGATAAACCTCACCGGCTTCGGTGCTCAGCGTGGCGGCCAGCTTCGACTTGTCCAGGATGCCCAAACGCAGCTGCCCTAGCAGCGACTGGAACTCCTGATCACTTGATTGCCGGAAGTTGTGCTTCAGAACGATGTGTTGCAGGTTCAAGGCCTGCCAGATTTTGGACTGGAAGGCCATGAAGTTTGCCTTGATCGGTGGGAGCTGCAGGAAATCCCCGCAGAGAACCACCTGCATGCCTCCGAAGGGCTTCTCAGAAGCAAGAATTCGAGCGATCAGTTCCCCGGCTTTGTCCAGAAATTCGCCTGAAAGCATGCTAACTTCGTCAATCAGCAGGACCTTGGTGTCCCGGATGCGCTTCTTGGCCTTCTGGCTGCGGGAGGCCTTCGCCCAGTCCTCCTCCGTTTCCGCCTTGCCGCAGCCCAGGTAGGAGTGAAGCGTGGCGCCCCCAATGTGGATGCCAGCCACACCGGTCGAAGCACAAACGGCAACCGCATCGTAGCCCTCGCGCAATCGCAAAATCTCGATCAGCTTCTGCAGCAGGAAGGATTTGCCACAGCCCGGGAGGCCTGTAATGAACACATTCCGGCCGGCAAGCACCTCTTTGGCAACTGCCATCTGCTCCTCACGCAGGACGTCACGGAGACTTGCTTCCAGAGTGGGGTCGGGCTTGGGCACCTCGCGCTGTGGCGAGGTGCCAGCAGCCGTCTTGTTCTTGGCACGTGGCGGCGATGGCGCGCGCACGAAGGCTTCAGCTTCCAGCTGGGTTCGGAATCCTTTGAAGCGCGCGGACGGGAAGCCGTGAACCTGCTTCTGGCACTCCTCCCAGGTGCGGTAGATGCCCGGGCTGCGACCGTGCGCGACCGCGTAGAAGTTCGGCCGAGACTTACCCATTGTGACCGAGGTTCGGCACGCTCCTTTGTAGCCGAAAGCCACTGCCACGGACAATCCAGGGAAGCGTCCGCCAAGTCCGGCGGTCCGGACGAGCCTGCGCCGCGCAGATGGATTGCAAGGCGACCCGTCAGCCGTGCAGCCATAGGGATCGGGGCACGAGGCTGCGTGAATGGGGCTCGCGAACCAGGGTGAGGGTGTGCTATAGGGCCAGGGTCTACTTGGGGCTTTGGGTTTCTGCGGCCAGGTGTCGGTTACCTGCTTCTTGCTCTTGGACTGGCTGGCTTTGCGCGCCGTGCTCTTCTCAACCTTCTCTTTCTTCTGCACCTCCCAGGCTTGCAAAGCCAAGTAACTCCGACTTAAAGCTAACACCATGTACAGTTATACATATACATAGACATACACAGACATGCCCATGTACATATGTATGTACATGTAGTTATTCAGGGCTTAGTTTTTTGCTTGTTTGCATAATAAAAATCAACCCTGACAGCCGTTCGCCTCGGCTGTGCGCTGTTTCTTTGGTGCAACTTCCGGTGCAGGCTTTTCCTCGTAGGCTTTGGGTCAGGGGTTGTGGGGGCCATGTTATGGACCACGGACCACTTGCGACCGCTCCGATTCGGAGTCTTGTCAGGGAGTATCGTGGAATTTGGACATCGGCGTTGGGTCTAGAGTTTTGCCGACCACTGGTATCCTGACAGGACCTGTCGATTCCTGAAACGATCCCCCTCCGGCTGGCACGATCGATGAGCGATGGCCTGTCAACTGTCGACCCTCTCGCCTACTGTACTTTGCAGTTTAGCCACACTGGACGCGCGCTTGCTGCTGCCCTCCCGCGCAGCTCGAATCGCAGAGATCTTGAAAGCCTGGCAGGAGAGCACTTGCAGCCTGAGAGTTGAAAATTCACTGGGGCATCACAACTCTTCTACCAAATACACGTCCTGGTAGTTGCAAGAGGGCCTTTGGATGACACTAGGACTTCTTGAAGACGGAAGGTGGAAAGAAGGGAAGGAGAGGGAGTAGAAGCTTGCGCTGAAGCCGGAGAGAAGCAGAGGGGAGAAGCACTTCAAGCGGCAAAAATAAACGCATCTCACCCCAAGATGCACGGCTGTCAGGCGTACTTCCATTCAGAATCTTTTAGAGAGGACGCATCAGGCATACCTGCGTGGGGTTTTTTGCCAGCAACATGCTGGAGCTTTATTCATATTCATTAATAAATCATTTATATTGAGAACCATCCACCTGGTCAATCGGGCCGTCGTGCGGCACGTTCCACCTGTGCGCAAAGCCGCGAACGGGACAGAAACCTAATCTTTGAAGGGATTGAGTCGGCTTCGGCTTTAGGGGTTTCGACTCCCACACTCGCACAAGGCCGGCAACGCTCGGCATAGTTCTGTCTTCGCGGCAAACTAAGCGAGAGAGAGAGAGAGAGAAGACGACCCATCCACAGAGACAATCGAGGTTTCTAGGTGTTTTTGTTGCCACTCACACTCGGACAAGCCTAGCAAGGTCTGCAGCGAAGCTGTCACGGTAGGCCCTCTTTTTAAGGTGTTTAGGGTTGAGCTTATTTGATCAAACATGATCAAACCGCTGGGTTTTAACGGAAGACGTTCTGCAGATGGGCAGTTCCCCCGTGCTGACCTCCGTCGCGATGTTAGACTCTGTTAGACCATGTTCCTTTATTGTGACAAGGCATCCATGAGGGGCAGGAATAATCATGCGTTCCCGTGACCTGCTCTGACCTTTCCCGTTCAACGTTTTTTTTTGCGGGATCTTCTGTAAACAAACTTCGTGTGCGAGCTATTCGGGCAAATACACCTGGAAGCAGTCTTCTGATGTCAAAGGGCCAAGGTCCCACCGACACATCAGAGTAGACAGGGCATAACTGGTAAACGAATGTCCCGATGCATCTCTTGGAAATCAGACAGCTGGCAAAACTTCGCACCTTGGCATATCCGTTCTGAATGAGAGCACAAATCTGGAATGTCCAACTGCTCTTCCAGCAAATGGACACGCATCGTCAGGAATGCCGAGGCCCTAAACCTGTATCTGCGCACTCTCCGGACAACTCCCGGGCTCTAAACCTCTGGTTCTGCAGACGTGCTAACAAAGGTCCTCTTTAGGGAAGCCTGCGCCCAGGTCCATCCATGACCACGGCTCGTCTACAGCGGGTGAAGGACTTATCTGGGCTTCCCGGCTGGGAGGCCGGGGGCGTACCCGCTGTGCAGCTGGGGTGGTAAGCCCAGACTTGGTCGCCACCCACCTCACAATGTAGTAGCAGTAGCAGTAGCAGTAGCAGTAGCAGTAGCAGTAGCAGTAGCAGTACCAGTAGCAGTACCAGTAGCAGTAGCAGGAGCAGTAGCAAGAGCAGTAGCAGTAGCAGTAG